AGGTAAATTATCCTTAAATATGGTCAAATTTAAACTGCAAATTGGCTCACTAGAAAAATATATATCAAGAAGCAACCAAATCTCCAACTCTTTAGAATATTCATATGTTCCTCCCCTTGCTTGCCCAACACAAGATTTCTAGTATTACCTACCATTCATTATCTTTTAGAGTTTTTAAATGTGTAGCAAATAAGAGTGATGTACAATAAATAATACTGAGATAATATTTTGGCATATAATTTACAATAATTTTAAATAGAAAAGTATATGAGGAGAAAGCAAAATGGTAGCGGTAAGGTATCTGAAAATAAGAAAGGACTATCAGTAGTCCTTTAGTAAGCTAAAAATTTAACATATGAAAATATTACTGTTTATACAAATATAGAAAATCATATTTTATGTTTAAAAATGTATGTCCCTATAAAATGTAAAATTATGTTGATGTTTAAAAAAACAAGGAGTTTTAGTATTTTCATGTATTTAGTAAATAAATACTAATTGAGCTCTACCATGTTCTAGGCCCTGTGCTACACATGAAAGGCACAATAGTAAATAATACATAGTCCCCATGGTCAGGAAATATAACCAAGTGAAGATTTTTATAGTTAGTAAGGAAAGAATTAAAAAAAAAAAACAATGACACTTTTAAATAAATAAAACGTACTCTATTGCTATTGATTATAATTCTTCATGTTGTTATATTAGCCATCCAACAATTCCAAAAACAAATTATATCAGACCACAGTAATCTCAGCAGCAAAGTTAATGCAATGATACAGGCACCTCAATATTACTTTAAAAGTCACCTCATATAAGCTTCTTTCTCCTTTCAAAAATGTAGGATAGCAGTATGAAAGGTGGCATTTTAAAATAACACACTATTACAGCAGAAGGGCTCAGTGAAACAAACAAAAAAAATAGATAAAATAACATACTAATAAGATCTCTAAATATCTAAGAGAATGTTTTCCACAAAAAAAACTTAAGAAAAATACAATTTTCTTACTTTAATTTTTGCATATTTTGTTGACAGTCAAAGAAAAAATATTACCTATAAATGAATTCTACTGATGAAAAAACCTCACTAACAAACCAAAGTCTGTCTTTGCCTAAGTATATGCTAAAATAATTATATCCACAAACCAAAGGCTGTCTTTGCCTAAGTATATGCTAAAATAATTTTATCCACTACATTCTACTGATTCTATCTGCTTTGATATTTATAACTGTTACTCTGTAAAAACAATTATATCACATTATTCTGTTATATCTTTTTCTAATATTTCTATAAACAATATCACTTGCAGATAAATATTCAGAAGGTGACCAAGAAAATCAAATGCTAAAGAAAATTCTTATTGAAATAGTTACTGACTATTCAATTAAAATTCATTTATCCTTATTGTAACTGTATCCATTTTTAAATTTTCATTGTATAATGTTTAAACTTTAAGTTAAATGAAACAAATTCAGTGTTTTATTTGTTTATAAGTTCCAAATGAATAAACTGAAATGTAGCTACAAAAAAATGGAACTCTATGTTTTATATTAATAAATATACACTATCCAGAACAATTAAGATGACAGTATTACTATGTAAAATCAGATTATACCCAGAATATTATGCTTAGTTCTAGAGACCATATTTAAAAAGAGAAAGATATTCACAAACTGAGGAAGGTCCCTAGATGACTTTAAAAATAAGGGACCCTCAAGTTAAACAACAAGAACAACTGATGGTATGTGGAACCATCCTTATTAGTAAATATTTAAAGGGATATTGAAAACAAATTATAGAAAAAGAGAGAATAATAAGTAAGCAGAAGGCAGGTAAATTTAGGTCAAATGAAGGGCATTTTTAGAAAGACAGTTGTCCACTACTAAAATAAGAAACCTTAGGAGTCCTGAGTTCTTTATGACAAGAGGTATTCAAGTAAGAGACAGTGACCACCTGAGAGATATTAATTACATTTCCTTCTACAATATTCATTGAGTGACAGCTATCAGACATAACAGATTTAAGAATAACCTTGTGGAAACAGGACTCGATGATCTTAAAACTGGAAAATAAATGCAATAGCCACTTTTCAACTCACCCTTTTTTTCTCCTGCAATACTATCACATCATATAATCGTGGGAGGAATGTGCAGTAATTTTGCTGTTCATCTTTCTTGATGTTAATATTTTCATAATGTAATGTCTTTTTCCTTTAAAAAATTCAGATAGAAATTGAGAGCTCTCAATTTTGAATGTATAAATATTTCTATAAGCAAAGAGAATATTTTTACAGCAGCATTCATTTCCTGCTTTGAAAGTATGGGATAATAAAATCATATGAGTGCATTAGATGGATACATTTAAAATTTTCTAAAATATATTTATTTTGTTGGTTAGTTCTGCTTTTTCCAATTCACCACATTATTATAAACCTATTCTGATAATGATTCCAAAAAGAAAACAGGATCTGGAATTTACATCATTAATTGAAGTAAAAAGCTACCAATGAAACTTTCCCGTATGTTCTGTTTACCACTGAAAATCTTTAAAATTTTAACTCCTTTGGTGTTTCAACCATTACTAAAACAAGGGGGAAATAATTATGTTATTTATATCATAAAAGAATCAGGAAGAGAACATAAAGAAAAATCTTTGATTACTTCTGAGAAGAAAACAATGTTTAAAAAAATAAAAAAATATTTTTTACATGAAAAGAAAGCTTATTTTCATTTAATTTTCGACAACCACAGAAAGAAACAGAAACTAAACAAGCAATGATTAAAAGCCCAAACTTTGGATTTAGATAGCCTGATAGGAATCCCAGCACTGCTACCTGCTAATTGTGTGACCTTATACAAATATCCTAAATTCTCTAAGCCTCAGATTTGTCACCTGTAATTGAAAATAGTAATAACCAATTATAAGGTTTCAGCAGTTAAAATAGGTAATAGGTGTGAAGCGCTTAGTACCATTCATGGCTCATAATAAGTACACAAGAACTACTAGCTATTATTGTCATAAGAATTACATTTAAATAGCCTATACTAACTACACTACCATTTTTTCTATTTCTTAAACAGAACGTCAAAGAAATCTGATATCCAACATTACCAACAAACTATACTGAACATAATGCAGGTTAAAAAACGGACAACAGAAAAATACTTTAAAAAAAAATGTTACACAATTGCCTTTATTATCTTGTTCAGCAATGGTATGATTTAAACGTACATTTACCATTTTAGTATTCTAGCTCACTTCACTGATTTTTATTTGTATAAAATTGAACAAATGAACTCATTTTCAAAACTTCAAAGATATTTATAAATAACAATTTTTTTTTTTTTTTAGACAGAGCCTCAAGCTGTCCCCCTGGGTAGAGTGCTGTGGCATCACAGCTCACAGAAACCTCCAACTCCTGGGCTCAAGCAAGTCACCTGCCTCAGCCTCCCAAGTAGCTGGGACCACAGGCACCTGCCACAACTCCCGGCTATTTTTTGGTTGCAGCTGTCGTTGTTGTTTTGGCGGGCCCGGGCTGGATTCGAACCCACCACTTTAGATGTGGCTGGTGCCTTAGCCACTTGAGCCAAATGAGCCGAGCCTAAATAACAAATTTATATTTGAGATATCAAAAGTATCATATATCATTTAGGACTGTGTCTTTTTCAAAAAAAAAAAAAAGACCTATAAGCTTATCTTTCCATTAAGGATAGCCAAGTATCTTTACTTTTGTACTGAATCGAGTCTCCCAGAATAATTGTGTCTCAATAAACAAAATAAGAATCCAAAAAAAGAAAAAACAAAATAGCAGAAAATGTCTGAAGGAACCAGAAGGAACCAAGACAATTCCAAATAAAAGATACAGTGTACACAGCCAAAGCAAAGAGTAAATTATGAAAATGGTGAAATGACTGAAGTAATGAAGAATGCAATCCATATTAATACATTCCTGCAAAAGTTAAAATACAAATGGAAGAGGAAAAACAGTGGAAATAACAAAGATCAAAGTGACAGCATAAAAAAAATAGAAGAATGGGAGCAGGACAAGATTTGGGAAGTAAAAAAGGACTGGTAAGAAAAACTACCATGCAAAGTTGGGAGCTAACATTAATTAGAAAGACTTCTGTTTATGTGTGGGGTACTGAGTCAAATGTTTAGTAGAACATACCTTTAATAAGATAAATTTAGTTTTATGTCATTTAAACATCAATAAAATTGATATGAGAGAGAAAGGGGAGGAGGCGGGGGGGGTAAGGGAGGGAAGGGAGGCTGGGAGAGAGAGAGAGAGGCAAACCAGCAAATCTGGTATAAGAAAAGGATAGGACTAAAATACTAAACAACAAAAGCATATGTCAGAAAGGGGATGATCAGAATTAAAGCATCCTAAAGACCTTGTCTTGTCTAGAAGATTTAGAATAGTATTAAGTATAGAATTCATTAGGCTAAATATGCATGTTAAAGTTCTAGCATGAACTATTAAAAGAATAAAAATTACAAATATGTATCTTCCATATTAAAAGAATAAAAAAATGAAAAAAGCAGTGGACTAGAATATAAAGTCCCGAAAACAAAGACCATGTTTCATTTTTTTATTCTCAGTGAATAAGTTAGGTACTGGCACACAGCAAGAATATAAACAATGTCCATTCCAGGAATGAACAATAGCACAATAGTCCAAGCAAGAGGCAGAGATACAAATATTCACTGCTAGTACACAGATAAGTCTGAATCTAACAAATTAATCAAGTATATAATCACTATGAGACTTGCTCTGAGAGAGTATCGGGCAAATAAGCTGTATTCGTTCGGGCAAAAAAGCTGTATTCGTTGTTGTTGCTGTTGTTGTTGAGACAGAGTCCCACCCTATGCCCTGAGCAGAGTGCGATGGCATCATAGCTCACTGCAACATCAGACTCAGGCTGTGAGCATCTCACTGTCTCAGCCTCCAGAAGGTGCTGGTATTATAGGTGCTTGCCGTGGTGCCTGGCTGTTTTTCCATTTTTTTAGGAGTGGGGATCTCACTCTCGCTCAACAAGTCTCCAACTCCTGAGCTCAAGCAATTCTCCCTCCTCAGTCTCCCACACTGCTGGGATTACAGGTGGGGTAGAGCACTAGCCACATACACCCAGGCTCATAGGTTCAAACCCTGCCAGGCCAGCTAAAACAATGACAACTGCAACAACGACAACAACAAAAATAGCCAAACACTGTAGCAGGTACCTGTAGTCCCAGCTACTTGGGAGGCTGAGGCAAGAGAATCACTTAAGTCCAAGAGTTCAAGGTTGCTGTGAGCTGTGATGCTATAGCACTCTACCCAGGGCTACAGCTTGAGACTCTGCCTCAAAAAAAAAAAAAAAAAAAAAAAAACAACTGAATTGTATGAAGGAATGGTAGAATCTATGTACAACATAGCATTTGTTATTCAACTTTGCCTTCTATGGATTCATGTCTAACACCGTACTGTAGGGACAGGAGAAAATATAGAAGGAATTATTTTACCAGTAATATACTTACTAGTTAAACTTCATTAATATTCTTTCCAATCTAATATTATAGCTGTAATTTACACTGACTGAGAATGCATTCTAAATCCATCATGTAGTCAGAAGAAGAACAGGAGATGACAGCCAGGGATAAAGTGGTAAATTCTGGATCACTTTCTTTTCTATTTTATCTGATCTTTTCTCTTCTTAATAATTAAGGATTATATATTTTAATGCTTTGTTACTTTTAAGCTGCATGATCTTGAATATGTTGTTTATACTCTGACACTTGGATTTTTCTCTGATAAAATAGATATAACAACAGTAACTAGGCAGGGACTTGTGAAGATTAAATTATCTATATCATTGAAGTGATATAGATAAAGTAGGAGACACAGGATCTGGCTGATAAAAAAGAAATAGCTTTCATATAGGTTACTCCTACATATAATACTTCTCAGAGTTTTTCATACAAATTTTTCCTTTTGGCCTAATCTGAATTACTAGAATAATTTATAGCTAAGAACTATAATAACAGTACACTTTTTTTTTTAACTTACTGGATGATATCATACTGTCCAGGACCAGGACTTGACTTTTTAGGTAGCTCCCTTCTTCCTGAAGAGTTGCCAAAATGTATACCTTTGTATTTCAAAGTTGCATTGGAAACACCCTGGGAAAAAAAAGTAAAGATGAGACTAAAACATGAAAGAATATTTACCTTTGCATAAGTCAGTGAAGACTCAGTAGGGTGCCAGCCCCATATACTGAGCATGGCAGATTCGAACTCATCCCCAGCCAAACTTCAACAATAAAAAAAAAAAAAAATAGCCAGGCGTTGTGGCAGACACCTGCAGTCCTAGCTACTCAGGAGGATGAGGCAAGAGAATTGGCTAAGCCCAAGAGCTGGAAGTTGCTGTGAGTGTGACACGACTGCACTCTACCAAGGGCAACAAAGTGAGACTCTGTCTCAAAAAGAAAAAGAAAGAAAAGAAAGAAAGAAGGAAAGGAAAGGAAAGGAAAGGAAAGGAAAGGAAAGGAAAGGAAAGGAAAGGAAAGGAAAGGAAAGGAAAGGAAAGGAAGAAAATTGTATGGAGATGCCTCAGAAAACTAAAAGTAGACTTTGTATTTGACCTAGCAATCCCACTGTTAGGCATATCCCCACAGGAAAAAAGGTATAAAAGGGATACTGGCACTCAAATGTTTATAGCAGCCAAATTCATAATCACAAAGATGTGGAAACAACCCAAGTGCCCACCAATGTATGAATGAATTAATAAATTATGGTCCATGCATACCATGCAGTACTATCAGCCATTTAAAAAATGGCAGTCTAGTATCTTTTGTGACATCATGAATAGAAGTGGAAACCATTCTTCTAAGTGAAACCTCACTAGAATAGAAAAACAAACATGTTCTCAAATCGGAACTAATCTATCAATACTTAAGTGCACATACAGAAATAAATTTCAGTAAAAATCAAGCTAGGGGTAAGGGGAGGAGGGGATGGGTAAATTCCCATCTATTGTGTATAGTGCACACTACCTGGGTGAAAGACACACTTATAACTTTGATTTAATCTTTACAAAAACAAAGTATGTAAACAAAATATGTATACGCTCCCTAATATTCTGAAATTAATTAGACAAAGAAGATAAAAATGGGAATAAGTCATAAAACAATGTTTACCTCTATATAAGTCTAAATCTTAAGCAAGGATAGCCTCAGTCACAGGGGTACCACCAGTAAATTAAGGTGTTTTTTGACAGATCCCAAGTTAAGTTGTCACCATTGTGCCCCATCCCGATCCGGAGACAGCCAGGATCCCCAGAGAAGTGCCTCTAATATTAGTATATTCCCAACCAATATCAACAGCTTTGCTCTTGGCAGTACACTCCCTATCTACAACCTTAAGGGACAATGAAAATTAGCTCCTCATCATTTAAAAAAAGGAAGAGGGGATGGAATTATTTAGGGAATGGTAAAAACATATTAACAATTATCTTAAACAGATTGAAAAGTGCAATATTACAAACAGCCATGAGATAACTTCTAATTACCTGGTATTGAAAAAATATTCATGAAATATTTTCAAATAGTAACAAATAGTTAATGATAAATAAAGCACTATTCCAGCTCATTTTGGTGTCAATTCTTAAGGACAGGATGTGTTCTTTAATGACAAATTATTTGTGACATGAGAAATCAACAATCATTTTTCCTTTACAGCTATTATAATAAATTTAAAAATTAAGTTTAAAGACCTGGTTTTATCAGAAACTAAAATAATAAAGTATAACACAATAACAGTCGCATCCTATACAGGAATTCTGTTCTCTTAACCTAACACATTTTTAATTGAGCAATAATCAAAAAAATTTTAAACTCATATTTTTTAACTGATGGTGGAAGGTAAACTCTAGTTTACTTACTTTCAATTTGTATTTATTTAAATATAGTTTTAAAATAAGTTTGGATTATCAAAATTATATATATATATATACAGCTTGTATATAGTTATATATATAATTTCATATGTATAAATACCACTCCTATGTCATCAATGTATAGTTTTAACTGTATGAAACAGTGTGTCAGTTATTCTAGGTGGCTATTACTATTCTAGACCAATGAAAGCAACCTCAATGACCATTATAAATAATATTAATGTAATAAATAGCAATGATACTGATAAAACACATAATTTTGATTCAAAATGGTGAATCAAATCTATATCCACCCACCCACAAACTTCAAAAAACCACACAAAATGACACAAATTATAAACATTATAAACTAGAAGGTATCACTCACATGTCAGAAGCTTTAATGAACTTCTTAAAGATACAACCCAGCAGTGACCAGAATCAGAAAATGACCTCACTACATGTAAAAAGAGCCTCTGCTTAACACAATCAACATTCCCAGAAAGACAGAAACTTGAAATAAGGATGAACTCTTTGAGTAGTGAGTAGAGCAATTCTCAAAGCCACTAGTACCTTTTGAGAGCTGTACCAGTACCATTACATGAAGTGAGGAGAAGAATGCTAAATCCCACTTTATTCTCAGCACGGGTTATTAAAAATAGGTTGGAGGCACTGTCTCTGGCCCTGAATGACTTTCTAGATAGAGAGGCACCACTCCAGAAAGCTTTGGGATAGCCACAGCAAAATCCAAAAAGAAGCTAGGATAGCACTAACGATCCCTACTATATGAAAACTTTACTTCCTTGAACTTACCATTAACAACTAGCCCTCAGATATCATAAAATATAAGCACAATAAAAACTAAACTTTCCCTTCTACATCTCCCTGTCCTGAAAGAATTAAATAAGGACTATGATGGTAAATTGACCAGATGAAGGGATGCCCAGATAGCTAGAAACCACTATTTCTGGGTATGTATATGAGGGTGTTTTCAGAAGAGAATGACATTTGAATCAAAGGACTGAGTAAGAAAGATCAGCTTCACTCACTCATGTTGTGTACCATCCAATTGGTTGAGGGCTCAGATAGAGCAAAAAGGCAGAGAAAAGGCAAATTAATTCTCTTATGTATCTGGGACACCCATCTTTTCCTGCCCTTGGACATAAGAACATAACTCCAGGTTCTCCAGTCTTTGGATTCTGGGACTTGCACCATCTGACCCCCAGGTTCTCAGCCTTCATCCCTAGACTAAGAAGCAGGGGTGGAGAACCTGCAGTCTTAATTACATCATCAGCTATCCTGGTTCTCAAGCCTTCAGGCTTGAACTAAGCTATGAGAACCACCTCCCTTAGTTCTCCAGCTAAAAGATAGCATATTGAGGGCCTCCTCACTCTCTATAATCATGGGAGCCAATCTCCACAATAAATCATCCTTTCATACATATAGTTATGCACTGCATAATGACATTTCAGTCAACAATGGACCACATGTACAACACTGATCCCATAAGATTATAACAGTATATACAGAGAGTGCCAAAAAAAGTATATACTTTTTAAGAAAGGAAAAAATGGTGTTAAATTTGTAATACCCAAGTTATGTTTGATTTCTGCAATTATAAGAGGTGCTCCACATGACTTATTTTGTTATCAGTATACATTGAGTATTACAATTTTAATGCAGTTTTTCCCTTTCTTAAAATGTGTATACATTTTTGGACACCCTCTGTATTAATATTTATTATATCCTTTCTATGATTGCATATCTGTATCTGTATAATCTTTTACCATTCAGTACAGTACATGCTACCCAGGTGGTAGGCCAAACTATCTAGATTCGTGTAAGCACACTCCATGATGTTCACACAATGACAATCACCTAACAATGCATTTCTCAGAACGTATCCCCCTCATTAAGTGATGCATCAGCTGTGTACATATTAGTTCTCTTTCCCTGCAGAACACTGACTAAGATAGGGACTAACACAATCTCTGATCTAACTTCAATGTTTGATAAAGTGAAATGAGACCTATGTTGATTCTGTTTTCACTGATGAAATCTCATAGAAAATCTTAATGATAGCTTTGAAATATTTATCCTGCTTATATTTTAGTTAAATCTCCTGCTTATTCCTTTCTTGGGTGATGAAGAATGTTGGGAGCTGACAATATAGAAACAGGAATTCACTAGCTATGTTCAGGTAGGATTCAGACATGTTTTGGAATGTCTGGGTAACTAATGAAGCAAACCAACCAAAAGGCAAATGTAAAAACTAATATTATAGGAAATAGCTAATCATGATGACCATTGTCAAAAGAGTGTCAATGCTAATACTAAGTATTTTCAGTATTTGCTGAATTTGTCTCCTAACATAGACATATGTCAAGATATAAATCCCCAATTGATTTATGTCCATATCCTGTGAAGTGCAAAGAAAAATCTATAGTAAAAATCTAAAAGAATTGTTTCATGAAAACAGTATTAAAAATCAATACTTTGGGACCCTACTTTTGGACTCTTCCAATAGTGCTTTACACAAAGAAGAAAGGACATTATCTCCCTCCCTCCATTTCACCGCCACTCATCATGCAGCTTTAGTTGAGAACAAGAACATTGGCGGAAATACCCAACAGAGCATACCATCTGCCAAAGGACTGAGGTGACTGGTAGAGGAGCAGCTGTACTCAGTGGAAATGGACTTGTTCAGGAGCTTAGTTGAAAAATCCCTGAGAACTTCTACAAACACCTGGGAAGAATAACTTTCCAAAAATCTGGACTGGAGGTCCTCCACTTTGGTAGGTAGCACCAAAAAAAAATTGATATTTGATTTAGAAGAGCCCAGAGCCCAGGTAACCATTAGAAATCTCTTTTTCAGAGGGGGATTTCACAAACAAAGTGTGTGATTGGAATTATGACACTAACACATTTGCTAATGGTAACATGCTGAGAACTACCTGTATGTTGCCACACTAGAAAACAGTCCATTTTCAAGTCCAGTGCTTGAATAATACACTTCAGGACTTCTAATTCTTCACAAATTCTATTTCCATATTTAATTATGGAGGGACAGGGTGGGGGAAGTTGCATAGCCATGTCTTCATTTAATTGTCAGTGAGAGTGGCAGTTAGTAATTCTTCTTCAAGTTATTTTATAGCATTCACTAAAATAATGCAGCTCCATGCTGAGTTTGCTTCAATTAAGCCATATTTTATTTGCTAATGACTTTCTAAATTGACAGTGCCCTTGA